GGCTAATGGGAGTTGTCGAGGGAGGAAGGCACTCCTTGCCGTCTATACCAGGCTGGTCGGTAATGGGGCATGGTGGTGCCCTGTAACCCTAGCATAGGGGGTTATGAAACCAGCCGCGTTTAGGTTCAAGGATTGATCACGGGGACTTTGTTTTTTCCAATTGTTGCGTGGGAAGTTTGCTAGTCGGTGGTTCCGGTTCGGATTTTTTGCTTTTAATGTGTTGTATGTCACTCATGTCCTATCCATAAAAATAAGAAAACAACAACGGGCGATGTGTTCGGATATGGCTATCCTCTAGAGGTTGTGATCGTTCTCGGTGGTTGGGGTAGAACGCTTTTAGGCTCTTGGGATTCCTTGCAATTTCCTTGAGGCGATTTTTGATGTTTTTTTATTCATGGACCTGCGGTTGTTCGATGCCAGAACGACGCTGGCCGGTGCTGGGGGGTTGACCCTATAACTTGTTGACAGAGGAGCTTGAGGCCTGGTAGAGAGATCTGGGAATGCCTAGGGGGGGCATTTCACGGGACAATCAGGGGTTCCTATCGAAGACGATGCTGGCCAGAGGTGTTAGGACCCTGTGGCACTTTAGAGTGTTTGAAGACAATTGCTGGGATTTTCGTTGGTGGATAGTCTCCCAAATTTACCTCAAATAGCATTGAATTTTGTTAAAAAAAAGAGAGAACATTTTAGGATTCTGGGGACTTCTAGCAACTCGCTTTAGGCTGTTTGATACTGATGCGTTCATGGATCTGTGGTTGTTCGATGCCAGAACGACGCTGGTCGGTGCTGGGGTGTTGCTCTGTAACCTGCTGATTGCAGGAGCGTGAGGCCTGGTAGAGAGATCTGGGGATGCCTTGGGGTGGGCATTCCAAGGGACAACCAAGGGTAGCTGTTGGGACGACGCTGGCCGGAGCTGGGGCGAGTCGTGTTGCTCTGTAACCTAACCAGGTGGGGGAGTGAGGCCTGGGAGAGCTCGAAAGGGAATAAGACAATGTTGGACAGTTTTAGAGAGTTTTTGTTTGGAAGTCTAGGGGTTCTGAGCGTTCGAAAAGAGGTGAGTAGTCATTCATAGTTTTTTAACCTCTCCTGAATTTCTTCAATAGTTCTAAAAAAACATGGTCGTCAATGGTGGTCTTACAAGTGATTTGTGATTCTGGGGACTCCTAGCAACTCATTTTAGAAGGCTCCACTGCTGTTATACTCAGTGATCTGCGGCTGTCTGATGCTAGAACGACGCTGGCCGGTACTGGGGTGTTGCCCTGTAACCTGCTGATGCAGGAGTGTGAGGCCTGGTAGAGAGATCTGGGAATGCTTTGGGGTGGGCATTCCAAGGGGCCAACTAAGGGTTGTTGCTGGGACGACGATGGTCGGAGCTGGGGCGAGCCGTGTTGCCCTGTAACCCAACAGGGTGGGGGTATGAGGCCTGGAAGAGCCCGGTAAGGAGGCTTTTTTTTTTTTTTTTTAACGGGCCCAGTGCCCAAGGCTGATATTACCAATAAGAAGGTTGAGGCTGAGGTCCTCACAGTCTACCCGGAGTGACCGAACTGAACAACCTGAGAACCGGGCTCAGCGTCCCTCCTATGATGATGATTATGATGATGATGATGATGATGAACTCAAATGATTCTATGAAAAATGTGAGATAATGATACGAATGATGATGATGCTAATGATGATGACTATTAGTATGTAAAAGAAACCTAGAAGATTATGCTATATCAGCAAATTTGGCCTTCTAATCCTAGAACAACCCCTAGCCCTCCCTGAACCAGAACATTACATCTTAGAGACAATGTTATCCTAACCAACATCAACCATAGCTATCCTGTTCTCGCCACCTAGACTAATCCTGGACCCATAGGTTGTCATGGCAACACCCCCCAGTTCGCCACTGGATTGTCTTCCTCCCTCGACTAATCCCCAGATCTCTCTACAAGGCCTCACACTCCTACCATTTGCAGGTTACAGGGCAACGCCCCAGCTCCGGCCAGCGTCGTTCTGGCATCTGCATACCAGGGGCACAGAACAAAGCAACTATGTAGATAGCAGCCCGGATTCGACCATCTCCGAAATCCTATCCCGACCAAGGAAGAAGGCCAAATGCCGCCAAGAATTACAGAACACCAGAAAGCTGGATATAACATGATTGATTTTTTACTTTTATTTTTTCGTGGATATCATAATTGAGCATAGAAAGCCCCCCCTTACCCACCACCTTTCCCCCTGTCCCGCCGCTGCCTCCGCCAAAAAGAGAATATCCTAATTACAGACCTTCCTTATCGGCCCCAGCTAAGAACAGTCCCAAACCCTTCCCAGTAACCCCCAGAGGCATTCAGTTCCAACCCAAAGTATGCCTCTGCTTACCCCTTACCCTAATCTGCCCCCGCTGAGGTTTGAAATCTCCCCTCAAACCCAGAATAGAGCATTCCTCACAAATCTGCTCATAACCCCTTCAGGGCCTCACTACCCACCTTGTGCAGCACTTGCAGAGCAGAGCTCGCCTCCCCCTCCAACCAACCTATCCATTTTTGGAAAATAATTCAAAAGAGTAAAGGGAGAATACCAAAATTACTGATTGAACTGATTGCACGAGAGATATAGATACCAGATTTTTTTTTAATAACAATTACAAATAGAAATACAATTATGGGAAATGTTGTGGAGTTCCACGACAGCATCAGGCGTGAACCGCCTGAACACAGATTGAAAAGATCAAGGACTAATGAATTAGTAATTGATTAACTAGAGATTTTTAGGTATTAAAAATACCATTCAGATTGGTCTATCGTGAAGAGCCAAGGTTCAAGGTACGGATGATCAGGAAAATATTGGGAAATTATCACGATTTTAGTTGGGATTTTAATTGGAGATGATAATTACGATAATTTCGATGACATTTGAGAATATAATTCAGACATATAAGTGACTAATGTTACGATCCTGGCCAATTTCGAAGTATACATTCATTTGAAAGTACAATGCCATCCAATTGCAAAAAGAAATGAGTGAACTTGAGAGGGGAGAGAGGGAAAGAAGAAGAAGAAGAAGAAGTAAGAAAGAAGAAGAAGATGATGTACTCCAGCATAGACCACGACGAGGCTCTCCTTCTTCGCCAACCAAACTCTTCCTCCTTATCTCCTCCCCTCTTATTAACAAGAAATAACAATAATAATGTTGAATGACTGAACCAGAATCAATGTCCGAATACCACTTCTACTGCAGGCACAACATGAGGTCCACCATAGCCATGGCCACCCTTCCTCTTCCTCTACATACAGGTCGAGGCTATGGCGGACTACCAAGGCTTCAGCCTCCTGTCCAAAGGACAACCCAAAGCAGCTATGTCGCTGCCCCACTTCAAGGTCAACACCATGCAGCTATGCCGCTGCCCACTCAACCGCCATGCCTTACTCTGTCCCGAGCTTCCTTGATGTGGCACTACCCTCACTGGGGCCTTCCTGATGCAGCGCCTAGCAAGGTGATGAAGATGGTGTCTACCATAGCCAGGTAAGTACCTCACCACTCTCCTCCTTGGTTCCCTTCTCCCTCCTCCTCCTACCAGTAGAGCTCCACCATAGCCAAGGTGGAAGCTCCCGGCTTCTCCCTCCTAGCAGCGATGTAGTACCCATCGCCACTCCAGCCAGCGCTCCAACAGCGTGTCGCCAAACTTGCACATTGAAGAATGAGGCCGAGCTCTTGCCTCGGCCTCTTGATATAGCGGCCTGCTTGCCTCCTGGGCGGTGACTTCCAGGCCGCTCGGCCTCCCAAGCAACCGGTACCTCCTCCCTTTCGGAGGGAAACATCATTGCAGACTCTGATATTGCCCGTACAGGCTCTAGACTCAGACTGGATGGACTGGTACCGGCCTAGACCTAGCCTACCGCTACTGGGCCTCTAAAAATGCCAACTTTGTCTTGTTCTGCTCGGCCTCGACTACCCGGCACATCTACCGCTACTGGGTGTGGTACCGGCCTACCTGCTAGTTGAGTGTTTTTCCGCTGCTCTAAGCACCGCGGGCCCCTGGCTCCGCTACTTGAGTGTTTTCCCTGCTGCAACCCTCAATGCCACGGCCACAGGTAAGTACCGGCCCTACGGGCCCGCCAAACATGCAAGTACCCTTGCGGGTCACACACACTCATACCGGCAAGCACTCAGACAGGCACGCAGGTCACAAGCATGCACACACAGACAGACTTAGAAAACACAGCAGAATGCGGGAATCTCAGCAAGGCATCCATTCCATCGGCAGAACTCCAGAAATCGGCAGTGTTCTCAGTCTGTGTTTTGACGGGTCATTACACTAAGAATAAAACAGAAGAAGAGAATTAAATAGGAATAAAATTGACGAGAGTCACAATAAGAGTATTTCCGAAAAACAGATTCGTGCATTCCTCCTACATAACCCAGCCCCTCCGACACCCTTCCCTCCTCCTCTTCTGCCCATTATCTAGGAAGAGAAGAAGATGAAGCAGGAGAGAGCCAAGTAGAAAGACGCCAAGTGTAAAGGAGAGACGACCCTTGATACGTCAGACAATGAAGATGATATTGATACTGATGATGAAAATTACCGCCGTTATCCCCACATTATGAAAATGTCAATGATGATGATGATGAAGATTACCGCTGTTGGCAACGCAGTACGAGTGAAGGTCGACGACAAATCCACCAGGACACCGAAACTGAAAGCTGGCCGAAGTCGAAGAGAAAGTCCCACCCCATGAAGCAAAGTATCCTCGGTCACACTGAGGTTACCAACGCCTGAAGCTTCGCGCCACGAAGCAGAAGCACCAACCCCCCCTCTCTACCTGCGCCAGCCTGCGACGCCAGGAGATCAGCACGAAACAGAACAGAAGACCATCGCCTCTCCCTCCACTCTGTCAACTAGAGACGCCACCATCCCCCTTGTAGAGTAGCAGCGCTCAACGTCCGTATCCCTGTGATGTCACCTCCGTCATTTCCTTTGCTGATGTGGCAGTGTTGTGACGACTCCCCTTATTAACCTTCACGCAGCAGACACGGCTCCGCAGCCGCGCACGAGCGCTGCTCCACCTGGCAAGCAATACTCGCTAGCAGCGCTCCACCTGGCCCGCCCACTAGCACGATTCCAACTGGCAGCATTCCACCTGGCAGCGCACCCCCCGCTAGCAGCACTCCACCTGGCAGCGCACCGCCCGCTAGCAGCGCTCCACCTGGAAGCGCACGGCCCGCTAGCAGCACTCCACCTGACAGCCCCCCTTCCGCTAGCAGCACTCCATCTGGCAGCACACCGCATGCTGGCAGTGCTCCACCTGGCATCGCGCCGCCCGCTGACAGCGCTCCACCTGGCTGGCAGGGCTCCACCTGGCATCGCTCTGCCTGCTGGCAGCGCTCAACCGCGCGACTTGCGTCTGCCCGCTGGCAGAGTTTGGTTGCAATTTTTGCCATGGAGCCACGCGGGCAGGCCCAGAGAGTGTGTACTGTGGATGTGATTCCCGCATGCTCTGTTTCTGAGCACATTGAGGCAAATCCACACCGCTACGTGGGTTTCACTGCATGAGGGTCAGCCCGGCAGGGAGTAAGACACTGTTGGAAGAATTTTAGAAGGGATTGCTAGGTATTCTGAGGGTTTTGAGCATTTGTAGGATTGTTGTGGTGGCGATCTGTTCTTAAAAAGTTCAGATTTTTGCAGTTTAGAAGGAAACTTCTCATATTTTTTCTTCTCTTATTCTTTCAGATTTTTCAGACCTTTCTGAATTTTAGCCTATCTCGTGGGGTTCTTCATCAAATAGGCTAGTAATTGATCATGATCCTATTTTCAGACAAAACCGGGTAAGGGTCCCGGTATCTCAAAGTTTTTCTGTATATGTTCTCAAACATGTTTCATGTTTCAAATGGGACGCTGGGCCCGGTTCCCAGCACATGCGGCTCCCCACGAATAGATTGGAGCATTGTTCCCATTAAAAAAAAAAAAAAAAAAAGAACTGCTTTTGGGCAGTCCCTCATGCACACTCGCACCTGCACCAAGCACGAGAGAGAGGAGCGGGCAGGCAAGACCTAGCAAAGATGGCTTTTGGCTCACTCTTTTTAAGACCTGGAGCCAGGTCCCTGACAACTCCCCCTTCATGAGGAGGTCCTTCAGCAGCTCCCCCCTCATGAGGGTCACCAATAAACAGGACTGCGTCTGTCGGAGTTCAGACCCCCCCCGAAGGACCTGGGTAAAACATGGGGTGGTACGGGTGGGGGACATACGAGATCAGAATTCAATGGAGTGGAAATCTGGCGCCCAGCTTTGCCCAAACCTGCGACACGCGCATCGGATCTCAAACAATCTGGAGCAGTTAGTGTTCTTGATCCCTGTGGCCTGGTTCGTCACTTTGGAGAAGCCTGACACTGTTGGAATCAGACTGGGTCGCAGTCCAGTGAGAGGGTGCCCCCTCCCCACATAGGCAGTGTAGTGGAAGGCAGGCCTGAAGGCACCCTTGTCAATCTCTTGCGTGAAAACAGAGATAACTCTCTAGTTAGGTTTTGTCCACTCGGGGTGGAATGGGTTGACCTCTACTGGATCCGGGTCCTCCGGGCCCAGTCTGACATGAGATGGTTGGCTTATTGCCCAGACATACCCCTTTCATCTCTACCCCTCGACCCAGCGGAATGGAACTGGAGTACTGGCAAAACCCAGCTGCCACGAAAGCTGCACACTTTCGTAGTCAAAACGGGGGGAAAAAAAAAAAAAAAAAAAAAAAAAAAAAAGCAACCTACTGACTGCTCGGACCTCAAGTGGATGTGCAGGAAATAATCAAGGACTGGCGGGTGAGACACCCCAACATAGATAATGGTAGCCTCCACAGCATCAAGTGGTTCCATGGACTTTAAGAACACCCTGCGAAGTTCGCCTCCTTGCAATGGCAAATAATCCATTGTTGTCTCTGCCCACGAACAAACGGTTGATGCATCACACTAATCTTGAACGAAAAGGTCAGGCCCTACCTCAGTGTAATTTCTGTCAGGAAGGTTTTCCCAGCCGCAAGTTTCGAGACACCATCAAGCATATCTTTCTTCAATGCCCTGTTTCAGCATTGACCTGACACTGGTGGGACAAAATCTCAAGGCAGATGGGCAAGGATTTGGACTGGCCGTGGGATTGGCGGGTGATTCTCCTTGGCAACTGGACAACCACCTCAGCTATGCCCCTTTGCAGCGAACCTCTTTTTTTTTTTTTTTTTTTTTTCAGAAAACTCAGAACCTTTTGGTTCTGGCTCCTGCCATTCTGGGGAGCGACAGTCCAGTTCCTATTCCCCGGCAAGTCAATATGGGAAAACATGGATAACTCACACACGCTCCTCCCCATTATGGTTGGGAGGTCCGAGTGGACGGCATTGATTACTTCTCTGAGGAAGGATGTACCACCCCTCACCCCTGCCTAGTTTAGACTATGCTATTTGCTCTGCCTGGCTGATGTCCTCCTGCCTGAACCCAGTCCCGCTCCTCTCAGCTGTGGTGCTGTCGGATTGTTGTGTCATGCTAGAGCGGTCTGAAGAGTCTATGAATCTGTTTAATTCTCTGACATCCTAGTCCCTATGTGTTATGTTCTTATCTAGCCTGAAACCTGAACCCTCAATCTAAAACCCTAAACCCTTGCTGGCTGTAGTGTGTTTTTATGGTCTGTCTTTGTCCGACTTTTGAGTTGACTCTGTTGAGCATGCCTATGGTTTCTTGGCGGGGTAGTTTAGGTGGGGGGGGCAGTGTCTGAGGTAGTTTGTGTAGTGGTGAAGGTTTTGGATTCTGGGTTGGTGTGCTTGGGGCTGTGGGCTTGGGGCGGGAGAGAGAGGGTAAAAGTGGTAAGGGTGGGGCTGCGTCCCTGTTGGGTGGGACGGATTTGGTTGGAGTTGCGAATTTCTGAGGCTTGTGGGGGTGCAGTGTGTGGGTTGTCCTTGGTGTCTTGGCTTGGTGTGGTTAGTATGCGTGTAGGCGGATGGTTTGGGGGGTGTAGTGAGGTGTCTGCTGGGCGTTGTTAATATGCTTGAGCTTAGAGTCCCTTAGCCTTCCCTTCTCTTCCTTTATGTTGTATGTTCTCTTTCTTTCATGGCGGGTTGGTATTGCTATTGTTTCCTTTTTGGACTATCCCCCTCTGTTCTGTTTTGGTTTTTGGTCTGTTCTGATCCTCCGTTTGGAAGTGCTGTCCTTGTTTTTTTGCTTATTCGTGTCCCTAGTTCTTATTCCTCTTACCCTCCTCTTTACTATTGTTGCGCTAGTTCCTCCTCTGAGTTTTCCTTTCTTATCAGTCTAAGTCCATTGCGCTTGTGCTATTCTGACTTGTTGTTGGGCTGCCCGGATCCCACCAGTTYRYGAATTGGAGAGTTTTYCCGTTTATCCTTGCCAATAGCCCCTCCTTCAGCCATTGCTGTTCAAATTCTTTCTGTATTTTGGTCCTCTTCTGGTCATCTATTTCTTTGTCCATTCTCCTAAGGGTTCGCTTCCATTCCACTCTCACCCCTGTTTCTACCATTTCCCTTGCCTCTTCCCATGGTTCATTTGCCGTTATCTTCTTTTTTCCTATTGTGTTTCCACATCTGGCTCTCCAAATTACCCACAGGGTTGTTCTTCGCAGTAATTCGGTGATCTCTTTATCCTCCTCAGGGATTAAGCTTCCTCTGTCTATTGCTGTTAGTAGGAGGAATTGGTCTGTCGGGAATTCATTATTAGATAGGTTGGACCAAGCTTTTTTGCACTTGAGCCAGAGCGCTTTGGCATGTTGGCATTCCAGTAGGCAGTGGGTTAGCGTTTCCGCTAGCAGCGAACCTCTTCTCACTCGAAAGAAAAGCATTTTTTTGGGGAATATGGTGGAAGCGTTACATTCACACCCTGGAAGGCATGCAGGTGGAGGGGGCGGAATCCATAGAAACGATCTGCCAGTTCATACACACTGAGTTAAGGGTACAATGGCAAAAAGTACAAGGGCACATGTGTCATCTAATGCACAAACAAGATTTCCAGAAGGAACTTATTCTGCTTGGACTGGCTAGGGGGGCAAAAAGGGTTGGATGGCATATGTGGAATGGCCAGCGGGGAAGGAAGGGGAACCCCTCCCCAAGAAACATTATCCTCTCAAGTTCCATAATTGGATGCAGATAGACCCTAGGATCCCACTGCGGTCCCTGACGGAGTTTTGTAATATGTTCCCACCCTCTGAGCAGGCCCTGGTGGATCTGCAACGGTATGGCATGGAGACACTGTAGCACTAGATCCAGGCAATGACCTGGTTAGTACATCGGGCTTTATCAGGCGGCCGGAGTAAAGGCCGAAGAGGCAGGCTCACTCCATTCATTATCATGTTCTTAAGGGTTTAAAGAGACCTGCTATAACGCTTTGCCTCACTGGCTGCATAATTGCGTCGGATAGAATTAGACCGCTGACAAATTGACTAACACACATGCATGAACCACAGGAAACACACTCAGGAACACTCTCAACCACATCTTATACAGCACATAACGATATGGGACAAGTAGCGCATGCAGGAACACCCTCAACTACACCCTACACAGCTCAATTCAAAGTGCAATAGCACAATAGCACATATACCGACATAGACACAACAGCATAAGGCAACAAGTAGATAGATAGTTATTGACCGTCAGACCCTCATGCATACTGACAACTCATGCTTGCACTGCTTTCGTTTCTTACATTGTACTCTACAGGGACGCTGGACCCGATTTCCAGCAGGTGCTGCTCCCCACCAATAGATGGAGCCTCCCTGAC